TACCTTCACATCACAACTCGATTGTTAGTTCCTCTTGGGAGCTCTGTATGACCTCCGTGATGAAGCTGGATCTTCCTATTTTATGTTCCATTGTAACAGCCACTCCATCTCTATCTTGCGGCACTTACTGCAGTTACTACAGTCTTATATCTATTTGTAAAATTCTTTGCCTCAAGTTTTTCTTCTCCAACTGGCCATAAGCTCAACCAGGGCAAGTACATACTGATTTGTGTTCATTGTTAGTCCCTGGTATGTAGAATGGAATCCAGCACATGCATGATAGGTGCACAGGTTATGAGTGTGTTTTTTGGTGAGTTATCATAAATTTACTTAATTTGTTACATACTCTTGTTAACCTTTGGTATTGTTGGTCTTTTTAATTTTAGCCATTCTACTTGGTGTGTAGTTTCAATTTGTATTCTCTGGAGTATTAATGATGATGGCATTTTTTCCAATTCATTCAATAGGTGTATGAAATAGGTTTTTGTAAAAACACCTAAGTCTCGTGACCATTTTTCTATTGTTTTCTCTTTCTTTTTGATTTGTAAGATTTCTTTTCAGATTTTTGAAACAAGCCCTTTTTTTGGTTATATGTGTTGCAAATATTTTTTTCAGTGACTAGCTGACATTTACGTTGTGTACTGTATTTTATTTTTTTACAATATTATTGACTATATTCCCTATGCTGTACTTGCGTCTGAGTGACTATTTGTAGCTACCAGTTTGTATTTCTTAATCCCTTCACCTTTTTCACCTGGTCCTCTGGCAACCAGCAGTCTGTTCTGTGGGTCTATGAGTCTGTTCCCATTTTGTTTGCTTATTTGTATTGCTCTTTAGATTACAAATCTAAGTGAAATCCCAGGGTATTTGTTTTTCTCTGACTTACTTCAGTTAGCATAATACCCTCTAGGTCCATCCATGCTGTCGCATGTGGTAAGACTTCTTTCTCATGGCCAAGAACCACTGAAGAAGAAGTGACTTAATCTTGAGCCAAGGCTCCCCCCAGGTGGCCTTTCTCCAGCCTCCTCGTGCCTCGTCCCACCTCTTCAGGCTTCTTCCTTCCTATCTGATCTGCCCGAAAAGCTGAGTGAGGACAGAACATGACTGTTTTTTTACATTTTTATAAATCACTTGGATTAAATAAGTAGTTGGCTGTATCTTCTTTTGTTTCCTGGAACTCTTCCATTAACCCAGTCAAGAAATATTTATTAAACACTTGTTTTGTTGCCAGTCACTATACTAGCACAGAGAACACTACAATCATGCCCCTCATTTGGGATATTTTCTTCTGACCTTTTGTTTCACTAATTTCCTTCTCAACTATGCCTAATTGGTTGTTAAACACATTTAATTGCCCCAATATATGGAGTATTTGGGATGATTCTAAATGAGATTTAGTCCTAGGATGGCTGGTTCACATATACATGGATGGTGTAGCCCTTTCGGATTCTAACCAAAAGCCTGAGGTGGGAGAAGCAGTAGTAGTTTCCAGAGCTTTTAGAGTACTTGAAAGAAATTCCACATTATTAGAGTCACCCAGTAATGTAAGGGACTCCCTCTTAAGAAGCCAAGTACCCATCACAAGAAATGTTCATAAGAAATTCAAGTTTTGACATTAGAACTTAAAAATCACTTGTGAAGAGACTGGAGATGATTACAGGTTTGGCATTCATTTGGATTAGATAACCTGCAAGATTTTTTTTTCATCTCTTAGTTTCTTAGTTCTTGTCCTTGTTCCAGCTGTGATCTTCCCTCTCTCTTTTTCAGTACTTTTCTTCCTGGTGTGTGACTGTGATCTAAATTATGGAGTCTAGGCCCCCTAACACATCTTTGTGAAGAATAGGTCAGTATTCACAAAGAATACTGACAGTTAAGAACAGGACTATTGCAATAAGTTCACTTTGTAGGCTGACACAGTGAATATGTCTTTGCTTATCAAAAGTAATCACAGGTCCTTTTTAACAAAGCAATCCCTCAGGTAGAGGCTTTCAGAACATAGGTAGAGGAAGATTGACTTTGCTATATAATGACAGAAAAAAAGATTGATTTAGTTGAGTCAGTGGGAGGAACAATATCAGTAGTGGGGAAATTTACTTCCATGTAGCCAAAGCAATATGTCTCTGTTTTTTTCTCATTTGTGTATTTACCCTTTCAATCATTCAGTCTGTGAATATATTTCAAGAACATAGGCTAAGAAGGATTTACTCTGTTGAAAGTTCTCAACATTTCACAAGTGAATTTCATGAAAATTGTATAGGGGTTTTACATCTTTGGGGAGAGAAGAATGTCTGCTGCTATTTTGTATTTGGGGGAAAAGCAAACAATTTAAATACTTCTTCCTTTAAAATGGCACACTGCTGGCAAAACGGGAGGCCCCAGTGAGGGGACATACGTGGTGGTTACAAGAACACAGAAGACCATGCTTGTAACTACGGTCACTCTGTGGAGCACCAGCGAGTTATCCCTTGCTGTCAGTGTGGGCCAGTCTGTTCTGCACTTTAATTTTTTTATTCCTATCTGTGATTGTTTAACTTATGCCCAGGGGAGACAGCAAGTTAATCACAATTATAAAATTAAATAACTTTGCAGATTCACTTCAAAGTCATCTTTATCAGACCAAACTTGCATTTATTGATCAAAAGTTTTAGATATTCCACTCAAGTTTCCTGTAAACCTAAAATACTTTCTATTAATTTAAAAAATAAACAAAATGCAATTTTATTTAAAGTGTACAAAATCTTAAATTTCAAGTTCTTTCTATATTTCAATAGTAAAAGGCAAAATATAGTGAGAATTCCATATGTATGTCTATCTATGACCTCACTGTGTTATATAGACAGAAGCATTTACACGGCAATCTGTTTAAATGCAAATTGCAAGAAGCTTTTATCTGCATTTAGTATCATATTTCAGTATACACTATGACCAAACTAAATACAATATAATGTCATTTTCATTTATTTGTTGAAAATTGTCTTCCATGCTCTGGCCAGTGTGGCTCAGTTGGTTGGAGCATTGTCCTGTACCCTGAAAGTTTGCATGTTCAATTCCCGGTCAGGGCACATACCTAGGCTGCAGATTCAATCCCTGGTTGAGGCACATACAGAACGCAGGTAATCAATGTTTCTCTCTCATATCAGTGTTTCTCTCCCTCTCTCTCTTTTTCTCCCTTCCTTCCTCTCACTCTAAAAAAAGCAATGAAAAAATGTCCTTGGGGAGAATTTAAAAAAGTGTCTTCTTTGTGTATTTACTTAAAGAAAACTTAAAAGGATGTCATGTTTTATACTGGGAAAAGCTGAATGTTACCAAAGATTTTATTAAATATTGACTTCATAATATATTTTATAAAAGTTTTAACTTCTGATAATATCTATATCACTATATCACATATTATGCAAAAATTACAGAGTGATTTTCTAAATTGTTAAGATTTCTGAAAAGCTACTGAGAAGTTTTTTTTTTTTTAACTGGGTAATAATAAGCTACTGAGGTGCCGTGGTGGGCTTTCCATCACTATACAGCGAGAAAACAGAGGTTCAGAGAAATCAAATCACTTGCCCAAGGACGAACAACAGTAGATGGCGGATTCTAGGTTCAAATTCACGCTCCTAATCATTTGTGCTGGTATGAGCTTGCATTACACAGTGGGAGTCAGAGCTGGGCAAAGCAGGGTCTGAATGGTGTCTCAAAGGCAGAATCCATACTCAGCAGTGGTGAGAGCTCAGCGAGACTGAAGTTTTAGTGAGGGTTAGAAGTGATACTGTTACTGTGGTTTCTAGCTGAGATTTAGGAAAGTAGTATTGCTGCCATAAAAATAAATAAATATGCAAACAAGATAGGAATTTCATTTGGGTACAGATGTGCTGACATTGATATTGGCCTTGCTGAGTCATAAGTAACACTAAGATTAACAGGTAGAGCTCCCATATGCCTATTGGATTGTATAGGACTTACGTACTGTTGAAAGTCAGTGCTGAAATGTAGATTTAAAGTCCACTTGCAAAGGGTAATGACTGAAACCAGAAGAACAGAAGAGAACTGAGAGAATAAAAAGAAAATTGGAATCTGAAGATGGGGGAAAAGTCATCTAAGCCTGGGGTAATACCCCACTTGTGGGTTTGAGAAACAAAAAATGTAAGTGAAGAAAAAACCAAAACAAAATAAAAACCAAAAAGTTAGAGAACCAGGACAGCATAGAATTATGAAAAGCAATAATCAACATGGCTAAAATTTACTGAGCACTTGGGTCAAGTTTGTGTTCTGTGTTTTACATACAACATCTTATTAATCCTTAGGGAGGGAGGTTTGTATATCTCTGTTGACAGATGAGCACACAGAGCTTTAGCAAAGTTGAGCCATTTGGTGTTTTGTAATAGTGGAAGGAACATAGGCCTTAGGCCAGAGAGATTTAAGTTCAAATATCCACTTTGACATTACTGACCGTGTGACCTCAAACAAGTGCTTAATTTGTCAGAGCCTCAGTTTACTCATCTGTAAAATGGAGGTAATTTACTTTGCAAATTGTTGTAAAGTTTAGTAATATAATAGGAAATAACTTAGCACTGGGCCTGGCATACAGTACGTCCTGTTTTAGAGGGCAGCAAGTGCTAATGATAGCAGCAGTACTTGTTCATTGTAGACAACATCTGTGGCCCCAGTGGCCATTGCCCCTCTAAATCAGGTCACATACACTTTTGGCGAAGTTTGGCCTGTGTTGTGTTTAATTCAACTAGGACCCATATTTGAGCATAACAAAAAGCACATTCCTGCAATAAGTAGGGTGACTGCATATGGCTGTGGGCATGCCATTTACATGGACTGTAATGGCAATGGCTCCTGCTGACCTTGTGTCAAGTGATTGCCCTGGAAATGTGTTGGCACAAAACAGAGGGACAAAAATACGTCAGCTGCAACAGAACCAAAGAGATGAATGCCATTGCGTGCTCATTGCACTGGTGGGTATGTTGAATGCCTGTCTACTTATTTAATGCTCTCCACAGATCTGTACTCCTGACTTGGTGGTATTCCTGGCTTGTGCCAATCAGAGGCTCAAAGAGAGATTACTGAGGCGTGCAGAGCAACAGGGGCGGCCTGATGACAATCTGAAAGCTACCCAAAGGAGACTGATGAACTTCAAGCAGAATGCTGCTCCATTGGTTAAATACTTCCAGGAAAAGGGGCTCATCATGACAGTAAGTTAGCTATAGTTTTGCATGCCTTGTATAAGAATGATCTTTCAGATTTCTCTAGACCTTGTGATTTAGAAATCTTCTTTACATTAAAAAAGTGACTTTTCTTGGGTTCAGATTCAATGAAAAAAATTGATAATTTTGACCTGACTTGCCTTTATTAAGCCATAATAATAAAAATACTTTCACATTATTTTAATTGATTTTACAAAAAATGATAACTTTTAACCTTGGCTAGAATTCCATAGCCCCCAAATGAAAAAGGATTTTTTGAAATAATTATTTGACTTATTTTAAGCAATATGCAGCTTCTCAACTCTTCTGTCTTTGGAACCTAATAAAATTGATGGATTTAAAAATACATAGTTGTCATAGTATTATATCAGACTTAAATTGTAAGTTATGCTTTATCATAATATACTGTAGAAAGAAATGAGATTCTGTCAGCATAACATCTCTAAGGGTTTGACTTGTCCACGACAAACTGGTACTATCTCAAAATGGAAGGTATTGATCTTTCCACTCCATTGATACAATGCAAATATTAATATTTTCATAAATGTTTAGCTTGTTTTATGGCTAATGACCCTCCAAATGCCAATGAAGGCTGAGGCTGGATCATTGAATATAATTACTATAATATAGAATGTTAAAGGTAAAGATTCAGCTAAATTTATTATATCCATAACATCATGGATTCAAATTTCAAAACATAGTAGAGATAAGAGGATTCTATCTGAAGAAGGCATTTTATGGAAGAAGACACTAAAATTGGGGTAACTCCATGGCAGCTGGCTGGTAGCAGACCTCCGCAGAACCCTCCCCTCAGCCCTTGGTCCTTCCTCGTCTAATGGGGTTACAGCCCCCATACAGAATCTGATTAAAGTGACCATGCCCATCCCAATAAAATATAGGTAAAATGTTTTTCACGAACTTTAGGTGAATCTACTGAAGCCCCCCGGCAGAGCTCCCATGACCTAACGATTACTGGGTTAAAAATATCTTCATTAGATTAAAGTGCCCTTAAATCTGTGACAGTCACAACATTTGAATAATAATCTCTTTGCAGTTTTATTACACTATAAAGAAATATTTATTAAGATTTGCTCCTTAAGTCAAAAGTTGCTGTGTCAGAGAATTGTAAATCTGATCTGAAAATAATTCATAATGCCAGAGTTTATTTTATGTTCTGAAAGAGACACTGAGTAATAGGAAAGATTTTAGAAAATTAGGGTGGGTATTTCTCTAGCTATTTTTTGCTGGGGTTGCTGCTTGTTTCTCTTGCAAATTACCAACGCTGACTTCTGCATGAAAATAAATAAATAAATAAATTGACCCCACAGACCAAACCTCAAAGGCAAGGTGCAGAGCCAGAGTTTTAATTGATGCTTGCAAGGTTTAAAGGCATTACCGGAGCGCCTCTGATTACTCCCTGCTTGTTGTGCTCGTCATCGCAAGCACAGCAGATTTCCCCAATGAATGCAGAGTGGGGATTGTTAATTTACTAATATTTTGCATGGAGGTGAAATGCCATTGCCTCTAATTGAGGGAGTCAGTAACAATGTGGATGCCAGCCTGTACCCTCATTGCTAACACCAAATGGGCTTTAAGAAAAACACTTCTATTTACTGGCAGAATACTTGCCCTGGAAAATCACCTTTTGAAAAGTGGTGAGTACAAACACAGGCTAAGCTCTGGAGAACAGAATTTGAAATTTAGTCTGATGAAGAGCAAAGGCTGCCTCCCGAACCACCTATCCTCCTCCAGAACCTGGATTGTAGTTCACTTGGAATTAAATATGTGTGGTAGCATTTCTGCTTTTAAAGATGAGTTAAATAATAAAAATGATTATCTTTATTAATCACAAGCATATTGAAGTTTTAATAAAAATTTTGGATAAATAGATCAACCACAGATATTCCCTTTTCTCTCTAGTTTTTTGTTCATTTGCTTCTTCCTGCTCCTCCTAACTTATTCATTTATTCATTCATTAAATATTTATTGAGACTTTCTGCTAGGTGCTAGGTTTGCAAAGTTAAATAATCAAAAAGTAGGAATCTTTATTTTATCACTGGCATATTTCAGGCACCTAGAATGGTACCTGTCTGGTACATAGTACGTTCACACTAAATGAACAGAACTTACAGTCTGCAGGGGTCCACAACCTCTGGACCACGGGACCCGTACTGGTCCTGGTCCTTTAGGAACCAGGCCACACAGCAGGAGGTGAACTTGAATGTAATGCACTTGAATTGTCCTGAAACAATCCCTTCCTCTCTGGCCTGTAGAAAAATTGTCTTCCATGAAACCTGTCCCTGGTGCCAAAAAGGTTGGGGACCACTGGTACTGGAAAAGTGATATTAAATGATGAGTTATTAAATGTGATGACTCTTGCAAAGGAATTCCCCATAATGAATAGAAAGGGCTTTCTCCCCACCTGCAGGTAGGCATAGGTAGGTACCTTGGCTCCAGGATCTTCAGGACCACAGAGGGCACATCTCTCTTCAGTTCAGTTGAGAAACTTCATCTTGGTGCTCCTCTTCTCTAGGGCTTTGGAGTCTGAAATCTCTCACTTGGAATTTCAGCTCCACTGCCATTTAATAAATTCATGACTTGGTTGAATTCATGGCTCTAGATCTTGGTCTTCATATCCAAATTGGAGATGATGTTACCTACCATGTAATGTTGTAGGGGTGAAATGAGGGAATGCGTGCAATATAGCAGGCCAGGGCAATGCAGAGGCCCTGTTTCAAATGCACCAGGCAGCCACATTGCCTGGCTCAGAATCCAGCAGCACCACCTGTCACCCATATGACCTTCTATAGGCTATTTATCTTTTCTGAGACTCAGATGACTGACCTATAAAGTGAATAGAATCGTCAATCCCACCTCAGTGTAATTTGTGAGGAGTAAATGGATGTCAAATACTTAGAACGGTGCCTGGAACGTTTTGAGGGCAATTTAAATGACAGTTGTTATTTTATAATTTTTTAAATTTCCTCCTCTCTCTTTCTCCCCACTCTAATGCCTATCTTTTGGAACTTATACTTACACTAACAATTCTGTGCTCTTTGAGGGCACCATGTTGCCTTTTCTTCAATAGATCAATTATTGAAGGAATCCAAAATGAAGATTTTAGGCTTTTAAATACTTCATGCCAGCCCTGGCCAGTGTAGCTCTCTCTTGGTTGTCTCATAGATGGAAATGTCACGGGTTTGACTCCTGGTAAGGGCACGTGCCTGGGCTGCAGTTTTGGTCCCCATGGGGCTCATACAAAAGACAACTAATCGATGTGTCTCTCCCACATGGATGTTTCTCTGTCTACCTCTCTCTCCCTCCCTTCCCTTCTCTTTAAAATCAGTAAGCATATCCTTGGGTGGGGATTAAAAAAAAAACTTCATGTCAAAATTACTTTTTCTCAGAAAAGTGTCTGTTAATTAGTTATAACATTGTATCTGGGTTTGCTTTAACTTCTGTGGCATCCATGTAATTGAGCTATATCATGGCTTTCTGAATAATGTGGTCGAGCTGTAGCAGATGTCAGCCCATTCTTTTTTCTTTTTTACCTCATCATTTGTGGTATCTGCTGGCAGTCTGACAAAAGAACAAACCCAATGTGACTTACCAGGAAACCTAATCAAAATGGCCAGGGGAAATGGGCTGTTGCCTGAATACCACATCTTACTGACATGGCTCCCATCATGTCTGTCTCTTGATTTTCACTCTCTTATTGTAATTTTCTACTCACAGCCATCTGTGCAGGTTTGAATTAAATGTAGGAAATGACAGGCTACTATGTTATGGGGACTTCATAGATTCTTTTCAGACAAGCTTATACGTTGCTTCTTAAATTATTATAAGGTTGGATACAATTGCTCATCATGTCTTTTACAGCATTATGTTTCTAATTGAATGTTCAGATACCATGAGTTCCCAAAATTTGTTGGAAGTTTTTCTTTGAAGTTTGAGTATGACTGGGACCAGAAAAGCTGCTTATTTAATCTCACTAAATAAGCTGTGTCTTATGACATTTTGAAGCACTTAGACTTGATGAAATTGTGTAACTCATGAACAGTAACTCCCTTTTATAAATTTGTCAAAGCCTCAATAATATGTATTGTAATGACTATTTTTATCTTTATTTTTAAAGCTGTAAAAATAACTTGTCTTTGTTTTAATTATCTTCACTAAGTTGGAACCCCTTTTTAAAAAAATACCAATAGCTAAGACAGGGCAAGTCTTTGTAAGTTTGATGAATTTTTTAAAAAAATACCTATGGGTTTATTTTTTTAAGAATATTTTTTAAATGCCTGAAAAATAATAGGGTAAGATGTAATGTTTATGTTGTCATTTTCCAAAGTGCCTTGTGCCATTGGGTAGTCTGTTCAGTTGGTAAAACATGCAACTTGTGAGGGAAGTGGTTGCTCCGTTGTGTGCACTGAACTAATACCACTTAATGTGGGTGATAATCAGTGAACGTCCACATTGACCTTTAGGCTGTGAGGAAAGAAAATGGTCATTTCTTCTTCTGGACTTTTTATAAGAGAAGCATACCTTGAAATGAGAAGTAAGCAGCAGTCATAGGATGTATGAAGAGGCCTACGAATTAATACCCAGGTTAACTGACTGGATCTCTTCAGCCAGGAAAGGCATAGCCCGAAAGATGGTAAAACCAGGATTATCTGTTCACCAACACCAGTTTTTCTGGGACAGTGGATGAGGCACTAAGTATAAACCATCTTGGCATATAGCAAGGCCACATAGACCAGTGATTCCCTAATGTTTAATAAAGCAGAAAAAAATTTTTTTGATGAGGCTGAGATGAGGTTGGCTTTTTCTCTTAAAGACTTTAATTTTTAGAACAGTTTTAGGTGCACAGCAAAATTGAGAGGAAGGCACAGAGATTACCATGTACTTCCCAGCCCCACATTTGCATAGCCTCCTCCAACACAAACATCCCTCACCAGAGTGGTGCATTTGTTACAGCTGATGAACCTGCATTA